CTCATTACGAAGTCAAGTGAAGCCAGTCACTTTTACCTCTCATAACCCGCACGACCTCACCTCTCTAGCACCTGTGTATGTCTGACGAAGTAAACTACAGATCAGTGACAAAAATAGGGTCACTTACCACAAATGAGCTGGCTAGAATTCGTGTTCAGCTTCAAAAAGGCGTTCTCCCGTGGTTGTGTCAGCTGACGTTCCCATCCAGTGTCCATGGTCTTCAGCTGACGAGCCATTGACCGCACATCCAGCTGGCACGATTCCAGTTCCTACAAAACTTTCTGAGCACTTAACATCCTTTTTGCATGACATCACCTTTATCTGAAACTAAGTGAATATTAATAAAGAATTCATGGAATATGGAAAATGAAAGTTCCGACAAAAACACACCAAAAAACTGCCAGGAATGTAACGGCCTACCTTCGCCAGTTTCTTTTTCTCGTCCGTGATCGCTTCGATCTGATCTTTAAGCACCTTACGTTTCTCGTCGCGTCGCACGCGTACACTCTCGATTAGATCGCGGCGGCGATTTTCGACAGTATTCGATACTTCCTAAGAATTATAAGATTTAGATCAGCCTTTCAGCATACATTCATAGTTGGTGTTTAAATTTACAATGGAAACTCAAATCAAAGGAAATCATAGAGCTCCAAAGCCTGGTGGCTTGATGAAGACTTCTTTGGGTTTTTATTGATGAAAAAGTACTACCATATAAAATTTTTGGACAGCTTCATTTCAACAAAAATAAATGAAACTTCGTATAATAAAAATTGTTCTTCCAAGCCTCAACACAGAACGATTGGAAAAATGAAATCCCTCATTTTTTAATGCAATCCATTTATGCCAACAGTTACACGTTTTTATATACCCAGTTTGGCTGCGCACGCATTCGCGTGCATGAGACGGGGCTGCAGCGGTAAAATCGGGCCCATCAGTATTTTTGTCTTGATTTTAGCTTTCTGCTCGGTACATCTTACTTACGCCGCAAACTCCGCCCACATCCGGGTGTGCCACGCCCAGCGTTCACATTCAACCTCTACTCCTACTTTCACCTCTGGTATTTTTTTCAGGTCTCTAAGTCATCTCGGAGCCGAATTATGAGGTCTTGTAAATGGCGTTATGAGTCACGAATTTCTGAGGCAGACCCCGCCCACTTTGGTGCATGGTTAGCCCAACAATGGCATTCAACCCTACTCCATACCTCAATACTTATGCACATTTTCCCCGGTCGCCGGAACTTCTAGGAACCGAGTTATGAGACACATACACAAATCCGGGTGGCCACGCCCTAGCTTCACATTCAGAACCTCTACTCTACTTCAACTCTCAGGCATATTTTAAATCTACTCTACACTACACAATCGGAGCCGAATTATGAGGTCTTGTAAATGGCGTTATGAGTCACGAATTTCTGAGGCAGACCCCGCCCACTTTGGTGCATGGTTAGCCCAACAATGGCATTCAACCCTACTCCATACCTCAATACTTATGCACATTTTCCCCGGTCGCCGGAACTTCTAGGAACCGAGTTATGAGAGCGGTGGCAAACTCCGCCCACATCCGGGTGTGCCACGCCCAGCGTTCACATTCAACCTCTACTCCTACTTTCACCTCATAACTTCGTATATTTTATTATAATAACTAATACGACATACAAGTTATCTCGGAGCCGAATTATGAGGTCTTGTAGGGGACGAAATCGAGCTACGTATCTTTGTGGCAAACCCCGCCCACTTTGGTGCGTGGGTCGCCCACTGATATCAGTCGGCTATCATCTCTTCCCCAACCTTTTTCTACTTTTCTCCCATCTCTGGAACTTATTGGAACCGAGTTATGAAGTACCGTGGCAAACCCCGCCCACTTTGGTGCATGCTCCGCCCGCCAACAACGGTTGACCCCTTTCCCTCTGCCAACCCTTATACGCTTTTTTCCCGGACTCCGGGACTCCTAGGAACCGAGTTATAAGCCTAATTGCAAACTCCGCCCACTTTGATGTAAGCCACGCCCATTCCCTGACATTTAGCTTCCCCTCCCCTCCTGACCTCTATCCGTTGTTTTCCGGTCTCTAAGTCATCTCGGAGCCGATTTATGAGCTCTTGTAGAAAATGCTGTCCGCTTCACGACACGCTCCGCCCATTGTGGGCGGGCCTCCGTTCACATCATGCGTGGTGGAAATACCTTAGGCATTGCTCCCCTGCACTAATTTCGTTTCTGGTCTGTAGGCTTCCTCTTAACCGAGTTATGAATATTTTCACTGAGCACCCATTTTCTAGAGAACGCCCCGCCCACCGAGGGTGGGTCTCCTCAGTTCGATCTGGCTTACCAACCCACACCTATGCCCACTTTTGTCCCGGTCTCGAGGCTGTTTTGTGACTGAATTTGAAATCAACCGATGCACGCCACGCCCACTGTGGGCGGGGCTCCGCTTGGCTGATGTGTGTTTTTTACTTCTAGGGATATGGTATACCCATCCCAAACTTGACCTGGACCCTGTAGGTTGTTGTTCGCTTGATACCGAATTTCGTGACAGACGGACAGACAGACATAGCGCATTATATATAGTAGGGATCCTCTGGAATGAACAGGAAAGAGGAAATTTGAAAAGGAGTCGTTTCCTAAACTGATACTAATCGAATAAATTCGATTTGTGCCGTTTAAGATTAACTCTCTACTCCATTCTGACAAAAGACCAACCCATATCCAATTCGAAGACTCTAAATGTCTACTGGCGCATGCCTTCCAACAAGTATTTCACCTATTTTTGAGTTTATCTGAACGAAGACTGTGCCCTTAAGTTTCCTGGTTACACGCCATTTTAGCCTCTAGCTTTCCAAGAAATATTCTTACATTACTCCAAGCTATTTCAATGGTAACAACCTTCAGCAAACAAAGTTTTTGCCACACTTAGGACACAAGTGGAAGATGAAGCAATAAGAACGCCCTACGGATGATATTGGTAGGCAATAAAATTAGAAATCGAAACTTTGTCAGAAACAGTTTGAATTAGTTTTCCCTTGAGCAGATGAAATATTTCGGCTTTTTATTAGTTCAGTTATACGAAGTTACATATACGAGTATTTGAGAGATGACATAAGGAGGTGTTGCTCTTTCACTAGTTTTGAGAACTGCATGAAGTTTGTTTCAAAGGAAGAATACATTGTACCCTATCACATAGTGCACAGAAAAGGAAATGAAAATGGAGCGACTCGGAAAAAAGTGGATATGACCGCGCGCGCACGCGGTCCTCATAATTTTGGACCACCCTGTAGTTCAAATTCAAGCCGAAAACCAAATCTTGCTGCTTTCCGGGGTAGTCACGATTCGCAAGTAAGCAAATTTCACGAAAGTTATAACCATTGGGAGATCAAAAACTTGCATGCTCATGAGAGGACTGTAAACTTTCTAAAATCTTCACGGGACTACCTTTGATAGAGTTCTCTCCCATGTATTTTTAGTGCATATGACCTAACTTAACTCTTTTCGTTTCTTTGACATTCTTTTATTTGCTCGAAAATAGATGTGAACGAAATTGGGGATTAACAAATTGAAATTCGAGTGTGCAGAATGCGCTTCAATCGTTGATGCAATAAACTTCTGAAATAGAGATTAGCTGAGACTCACATTGGGCAAGATCGCATTTGTCAAAGCATTCTAAGCATTAAAAGTGAAACCTGTGTATCCTAGTGGAATTTTACTTAATCTTCATTTCAAAAGGAATATCTAACGGCTCGATTACGGTAATTGACATCAATCGTAAAAAGAAATTGTAATCGTGTGAAATGCAGTCCTACCAAAACTTCTGATGATAGTCAATTCCGGAATTTCTAGAATTTCTTTCTGGGAGAACCCTATGTTGACATCTTCCTCTCTCTCGTCGCAGGATACAAACATAATGTGTTCCAGTGCCTAGTACTGCTCAGCGCAGTCCAAAGCAGAGTAAGAATCGCATGGCTGCTGTTTCTCTGGTAGTATCTGATTCTGAGACGGTCGTCACATTCCAACTTCATCCACGTGCTCCCCTTCAAAGCGACCACCAAGCGAGGGGACTGGGTGCATATAAGAAACGGATATCTTCCCATTTCTCATACTTCTTGCTTCTCTTTGGATTTAGCCAAAATCACCAAAAAACCTGTCTAATGCGATCCCTCCAACTTCCACAAATACGACCCCCTTTTTCCACTTTTTACCCTTAAACTCACAAAAAAAATCAAATTTGACTTCAAGAATTGCGCGACGATGGTTGACCCTGCGTACAACTCTTAACGAATTATCAGTTGTGTGTTAGCCAAATGTGCAGGTGATGTCCCACAAGACAGGATCAGTCATGGCGCATTTATAAAGTGCGTTCAATAGAGTCGAACGATATACCAGTGTCCAAAATTAAAGCCTCCTAGATACAGAGAAATTCTTTTACCAAGGGCTAAGACTTTCCCCATAATTCAGCATTCCTGTGATTAGCTTCGTGTATTGTACTTGAGAACAGCAATAAGAACAAGAAAGAAACAGAAAAGAGTTGGTTTTTAATCACTTAGTTAAAGACAAACCCCGGGATTAGCCCGACTTGTGGAAGGATACCGCGAGGGAAATTGTAAGGTCCCTACCTACCTAGATCACTCCAGCTTCGTCGCAAAAATTGCGCGGTTAGGGCGCTAATCCTTACGGGCCTGCAACCATCGACCCCGTTGCAACGCTTCCCACCCACCTCGATATCGGCGTGCTCTCTCGAACGGCGTGATCTCTCGCGTGTTTTGTCTTCTTTGACCGCCCTGCCTCGCCATCGTTCCACATCCGACCTTTTTGAAGGTTAAGGCCTTAATTTCAGCGATCCCAAAGATTTCTCTAGCTTTCCTTTCCACTTTCAGGCCGTCCCGCAGCTCAGTCATCACTACGAAGCGCTCTTATCACCAGTTTTATCCCGGGGCTTGCCTTTAATGCGTTCCTTTT